TTAATGGTTAGGGTTTCAGTTTTTCATCCCCTTTCTCTGTTTTTGTGTTTCCCCTGAGTTCTCATGGAGTTTCTCCATGTGTTTAGGACGAAATCTATAAGGGGGAGCACTTCTGGGTGGATTTAGTGCGTGGGACGTCAATCCAAGGTAAGGGGGACTCTACCTATCTCAATGTATTGTAATTCTTGTGTGTTTTGATGATTAATGCAATGTGGTTGAGATAGAAGATAGAAATTGTGTGTTTGATGGAAATTGATATGCAATGTGATGTGTGGTAGAATAATTGGACCCTGTGAGGGTGATTTTGTGTGATGGAATGTCATTGATTGGTGAATTAATGATATTGTGAATAAATGTGGGCTATGTGCCGTGTAATGTGAAATGAATGTGGGCCTAGTGCCGTGTATTTGAGTGTCATGTGGGCTGTGTGTTGTGTGTAAGCATGATCATTGCATGCGTAAATGGAATATGTGTAAATGTGCGTGTTAGCGCCGTTGTAATGTGCTTTGAATGGGTCAGCGATACATTGAGGATGTGAGAGATGAGGACGGTAGAATACCTTGGAGAAGAGGGAGTGGTGGTGACACTGACTACGGAACGAGTGCACCACGGGCCACACACTCTCTTCCTGACTAGACCTCTGACTACTATCTTTGTTGAGCGACCTGTGACTGCCCACGTGGTATTTATGAGGCGAGGGTAACCGGCGACCATTCATGGTGTAAATCTGTTATCACATTACTATAGTGAGTGTGACTAGTATGCGCATGCATGGATTTGTGTTTTACACTTATAGATGTGAATTGCTACCTGTGATTGTGTTTGTTGAATGTATTGGGAAGGTTCTGAAGGTGAGACTCTATGTTGATTGTGTGTTTTGGGTAGTGTATAATACTCATCCTTACATTCATTTTTCAGGTAATTAAGACGATTAGCACTGAACTCAGTGAAGGATTGAATGGACTGCTATAAGACTTAGTTTTTATTTTAAAATTTGTTATAACTAAACTAGTCTTGTAGCAGTGATTTGATATTAATTTGTAACCCTTCCCTTATTTTGAAGTATTTTATAAAAATTGGTTATTAAAATTCTTATTAAATTAAAATTAAATTTAAGGTGTTACAAACAACCAAAATCATACACATCAAAAAGGTTCATAGAAAAAAATGTAATTATTTTGTATTTAGAGATTTCAAGAATCACAAACTCTAAGTCTAACAACTTTTGCTTGTTAATACACACATCTATTTTAACATAAATTTTTAGAAGGAAAAAACACAACCTCTATTAACATCACTCTTATAAATAACAAAAATTATTACCCTAAAAGCAATTTTTTTTATAAATCTTCAATGTATTTTGATACCCAACTTTGTTTCTCAAGATTTACGCAATTTCACAATTGAACTTATACACTCTAGCATAAGAATGGGGGAGCCTTTCAAACAGTGTCCAAAATAATAGGAAAAAAGAAAATCTTAAATAATATAGAGACGAGCTTGAAAGCTATATGACAAAGAAGCGTACACTCTTCTTTGTATTATTATTAGAGTATCAAAATGTGATTATCAAATTAACAATAATATAATATTAATGAATTATTTTATTTTTTATTATATATTTTAACATAATAAAACTGTACTAAAAACTTCGAATAAATAAAAATAAAAATATTATCATTGTTATTAACTCGAATCACGTTATATCAACAATGATTGTGTCAAGACGATTGAGTTAATTTTTTATATATAATTAAGGGTCGAAGGGAATAAATATGATTACATGCCAAAATTTATTAAATATAGTGAAGCTTTCTTGCATAAAATTTGGTGGAGTAGTGTGCTATTTGTTTTGTAGAGCCGAAGGAAAGCCAATTTACGTGGACAGTTTTATAACCACGGATGGCATCAAACCACATGAGGGCGCGAGGACTAGAATATTCAAGACAATACTTTGATTTAGCTTCTAGTTTTTGTGGAGTACTATACTGTTAGTTTTGTAGAGTACAGTACTGCACTATTAGGTTTTTGGCATATTCCAAAAAAAGAAACTTTAATTTTGTCTTCAAAATGAAATATGTTTGATTAAAATATAATTGAAATCACTTTCAAAAATAATTTCAAACAAATTGCATCTTTATTGTTAAATTTGTTCTTTAAAAAAATCTAAACTGTAGTAAATTTTATGTAGATATTTTGAAACCAAGTGTTAATTTGAAATAATAATTACCGGTTAATTCACATGTTCTATTAAATGATTTAGTTTAATATCCTTAAAAAAATTATTATTTATCCATTTTTTAAAATTTTAAAGTGGAAATATACATATATAAATTAACAATATATAGGATATTTGTTACTTATTGAAAAGTTTATCTTAATTGTACATTAAATGTGTCAATAGTAAATCTATTTGTTATTATTCATCAATCTACACAGTTTTAGGCTTTGTTTGAGAGTTTGGAGGGGAGTAAGAGAAAGGGTATGAAGAGAGAAAGAGAGAAAGGGAAGGAAGAGGGAAAGAGATTAAATCCCTTTTTTGTTTAGATGTTTAATATTGAAAAGGGAGGGTGATAAGAGATTTAATTATATAAATAATTTAAAAATTAATATTTTTATTTTTTAAAATTTTTTTAAAAAAATTATCACTTGAAAATTTAATATTTTTTTAAAAAAAAGTTAAAAAAAATCCTATTTGTAAAATAATATAAAAGAGTGAGAGAGAGAAAACTCCTAAAATGAAAAAACTGAAAAAATAAACTTTTAGAGGGTTTTTGAGGGTTTAAAAAAACTCTAAAAACCTTCTCCTCCTAATTAAGCAATTCTCAAACAAGATTAAACCCCTTCTAACCATTTCCCTCCCCTCCCCTCTTAAACCTAACTCCCGAACAAAGCATTAAGAAATTTTCCAATATATGAAAGTCTTTAAAAATAGTACATATGTAATAATATGCTTATGAATTTGCATTTATGTTTTAAGGGATTTTGTTCACATGAGAAAAGAAATTAAAAAACTAAAATATGAGATTTAAGAAAAAAATACAGAAATATGATAATTTTTTTAAAAAAATTGATTATTTAAAAAAATATTTTCTTAAAAATCGTCATTAACAATTTTTTATATTTCTTAGCTTTTAAAAATTGCTATTAGTACTTCATAAATTTTAGCTATTTCATCTGTGAAGTTTTGATAATTTTCAAATTTTCATATTCCTGCATTTCTTTTAAATTACTATATTTTGATATATACTATTTGTAAATATCATATATTTAAAAAAAAATTTAAAAACATTATATGTAGGATTTTATATTTATTTTTTACTTATTATCCTTTTAAAACAAACATGTTTCACATTATATCCCCTCTGTTACTCATAGTTTGACATCAATCACTAATTAGCTCAGACTTGACATTTTTTTTGGCATACTAACTAAAGTGCATATATTCATCCTCTCACATCACTGGAAAGATTGAAACTCTTTCCAAACAAAGTAATCAAAATTTTATAATTTGTCTAATTTCACGTTATAATTAACACCTTTAAGTGAAAAATTGAAAGATGCACCTAATTTTAATTTATTTTGTTTGCGTAAAATATATTAACAAAGCACGCCGTCATATTGGTGATCGATAGTAAATCAAATAGTTACATTGATCTGATAACCATTTTCGCTTAAAGAAGCAGAAAAGCATCAAAATTTGATTAAATGAAAATGTGAGTGACAGAGTTGGTCCGTAAGATAGAAGTACAAATATTACTTGTCTATGATTGACACAATATTGGAAAGTTGATGCAGGAAATGGTGAGTAATGAAACCGAAAGCAAAGTGTTTCTTGCTAAAATGATGCCACACCATAGTTTTAATAATCAATGGTGGATAGAGAAAACACATCTTAGGGGGTGGAGAAGATGCGGAACCCAACACATAGTAATGACGTGGGGATTAGAGAGCTTTCATCAAAGGCATGTCCCTCTTTCCAAACATTTTTAAATTATCGTTTCTATCTCAGTCCCCAGTGACACTGATGGCTCCCCAATTTGCACCCACGAGAACTCTCACAATATGAAAATATCTTCGTTAGCCTCACCATTCTCCTTTAAAGTAACATTCATTTTGACATTTTCTCAGGATGTTAGGATGCTGAAATGCTCTTTGTATCGTTGTGGCCATAAATTATGATACGTACGTTACATAAATATTATATGTTAAGTAAATATTGTTACACAGGATTAAGCACCGTTCTTGCTTCTTGTCAGAGCATTAAATGGAAGGAGTTGATTATTTTGCCATGGCAACATTTTAAACTCACAAAATAGGGACTTCTGTGCCTAAGAGACAAACTAGTAAGCATTGATTTATTGTGATTTGAACCTTTACTCAAATAATTGGTAATATTAATATTTTGATTATTTAATTTTTTTGGTTTTAAATTCATTTTTTATTTAGTTTCAATTTATTTATTTATTTATTATAGCGGTTTATGGTATAGTAAATTATATAATTCTTTAAATAAATGAAATTAAATTAAGAGATAAAGGATTTAAAAAATTATTGGATTGCATAGTGATTGACTCAAACTTCAGAGCATTTTACATATTTTTTTTGGTTCTGTTTAATAGCGTTTCTTCTGAAAATCATTCATAGGTCTAATGCGTCCCTTAACTACTGCTACAACTAATGATAGTATGGGAGTATTCAACTTGACTACAAACACTGGAGGCAAAGTTCAAACAATTATTATCTTCAAATTGTTACCTGCATTGATTTTTGAAACTCTTAATATTAAGTATTCTTGTGTGATGTAGATGTTCAATTGACGGCCCATATTAGATGGGTTCTAATCATGTCACCAACATACAAGTGTATGGCTATGAACCATGCTACATAAGCTGAAACATAACTATATTAATTCCCTTACAATTGTACTCGCCACCCAATCATGCTATTTATATAAATAGGCTCCATGTTACTCAGAATCATAAGCCAAACCACTCCCCACTCACCTGGTTTGTCTCACCATATTCCTTACATTGATTTATTCCAATTTAATCTCTGTCTCTTCTTATACCCAAGGCCTCAAACACTAGATAGGAATCATAGGCTTTTCAGACAGCACTCAAAGTTCTCCAAACCTGTTTATTTGACAAACACAGTCTTAGGTAGAGACCCCCCCACTCCAATTAAAAAATTATATAAAACAGTGGCATTAAAGTATGCAGGTGTGCTTCCTTATGCATTGATATAAGATAGTGGAATTTGAAAAACATGCATTATTCACTTGAAAGCTGATGTGTACTATATGTGTAACAGATTCTTCAATGGGTCTCTAAAGGGGCACATGAACAAGAAATATGGAGAAGCACCATAAGTTCTCCCACCAATTGGAAAGCTATCAAAGGTAACCATTCTTACAACTCTTACATCTTATAATCATTTAGCATACAAAATGAATAATTCAATGCACATGGGCACTGATTTTTCATATTCCACTCTTTTTATATATATTTAATTTCTCTTTGTATTTTATCACATATGAGTGTGCAATTCGATGCACATTAACTATTCAATAACTTTTATATATTAAAAATTATATCACAAATTTAACTATGAATTTTGTTGTAATGAATTAAAAAAATTATTTTAATAAATTATTCTAAAACACTTATTAAAATAAGCTTAATAATAATAATAATATATCAAATATTTGTAAAAAAATCATAAATTGTTATAAAGTTCAAAATAGCATGAAACGCTGATATCATAACGACGTTGTTTCAGAAGAAAAAGCTAAAGGAAAAGATATAATTACACTTAAGCATCATAAGGCGTATAGAAGAACAAAGAGAATAGAAGGGAGGAAGCTTGGCAGCAAGAATTTAAAGCTATTTCCTTTCATTTGCGGAAAAGACATTCCAAAGGCTTGCTTTTACAGAACCCTCAAAGTAAAGGAAATAGAAAACTTGAATATGAGAAGGCACTTTGTCAACTCAGTGAAGATGAAGAGAGAAGAATTATCCAAAGGAATAGGAATAACTAGAAAGGCAGATTTTGCTACTCATGGAGGAAAGAAGGTTTTACCCATAACTGAAGCATCATTCTCCGACTCTCCAAAAAGAAATGACCAACGTGTCATTGCAGAAAGTAATGCAGTTACAAAGAAGCCTGTTTCAAGAATGAAACAACTACTTAGAAAGGTTGCTGCGGCCAAAACAGAGAAAAGTGAAAAATTCTATGAACAGAAGGTAAACTTTTGGACCCCTTCAGTGACCCTTAATTGAAGAAAAAAAATAAACACTGTTTTAGCTACGTAATTTCTTAGTTGAATTGACTAAGTAACTAAATTAATTAGTGGGCATCGTCAAATTATTAATTAGCAGGTTTTACAGTTTAGAAGACAAGGAAACGTAGAAGCAGTTCAAGACCATGATGAACTTAGTAGTGAATCACCCAAGATCAGTTTCACCTGGGATGTAGAAACTTGCTTGTCTGAAAATGGACAAGCTCAGATTTCACGTTCACAAGTATTCATCCCTCCCAGTGAGCGTGATCGTAGAAAAGGAAACTGGATCACTACAGACTCTGAATGTAAGTTAAAATTTTATTTCTTTATCAGCTTCTGCAATATAGTCTGCGAATTCAAATTTTACAATAAGAGTAATTTTACGTTTAGAAATTGGTTACTCTTTTTCATTATACCCAGTGAGTTTTTTCACATTAAATTTTTACTTTTAATTTAATCTTAATTTAAATTTTTATAACTTATCTTTAATTTAAATTTTATTTATTTAATTAATATAATAATAAAATATTTATAAATCTCTAGTCATGTGGTGTAAATTTTTATATTAAATATTTGTTTTTAATTCAATATCAATCTTAATTAACTTTGATTTTTCCATAATTTTTAATATAAAATTTATCTCTTTATTTAATATAATAAATAATTATAATTTTTATATAAAATTTATGAACATAAATTTTTAAATTAATTTCTTTTAAATCAATAAATGATTAAGTCTGAAAAAAAAGTTTCTATAGTAAATATAAAATTAAAATATTAAGTTATATATAACATTTTGAAGTCATCATGTGGTTACATAAAAAATATATAATGTTAATTATCTAAACATAATTATCTACTAGTTAAGATTTATTCCTCACACCTCTGACGTTAAACAAACTCTTCTCACAACTAGATCGATCATCGATCTCTTCATAAACACTTGACTAACCCATTGTTTATTACGTTTTTCTTGGATAACAGATGTGGTGCTTGAACTATGAAGAAATGTATCTAAGGGAAATATTCTATCGTTTCATTGACGGTGATGCTGTTGAGCAATGAATCAACTTCACTGGTTAATGCTCTACGTCTATAAATGTAACATTAGCACTGAGCGATCTGCATGTACTAGATGTCGATTTAACTTAATGAGAATGTTTGGCATATACATCATGAGTCGTATCGTATAAGTAAATTATTCCTTGTTGGTCGAATTAATATGGAAGAGTTTAAAAGTTAGCAGGAATATTCCCTTGTAATCACCGTTGCAGTTTAAAAAAACAAAAACAAAAGTTAATGTTATTTTATATATATATATATATATATATATATATATATAAATTAAAATAATAACATTATAATAAAATTTGAATTTTTATTTATTATTAATTTAAATTTTTTTTAACATTATCACTCAATCATACATTCCTGCTACACATTTAAGAAAAAAAAAAGAAAAAGAATTACAATTAACAAATATATAACGTTGTTTTGATTCGGTTTTTTTTTTAATCAAATACGAAATTGAACAGGTTAAACAGCTGTTTCAAAATTATTAATGTCAAATCAGTAACAAATAAATATATATTTTTAATAATAATATTTGGGATAAGAAAAATTTTCTAAGTTAAAAATTATCTTGAAGGAAATTACATTTTGACAAAATTTTGAGGGTCAAGAAGGAGACAAAGATAAGCCTAAACATAAGAGAATATTGGAAGATTATCTAAGATCTTTAATTTTAATTAAAAGGGACACATTTCGAGCTATTTTAGGAGATTTTTTGTCACATTGTTAATTTTTTTCTAAACTGCTTAAAAGACAAGAAAATATTCTAAGACCACAAAACTAAAGGCTTTTTTCGAGGAGTTTTCAAGTCACTGACACCCAAAACTACTCGAAAAATAGAACTGGCAAGAAAATATTCCAAGTCCACAAAATTGATGGCTTTTCGAGGAGTTTTCAAGTCTCTCACACCCAAAACTGCTAAAAAAACAGGATTAACAGGAAAATATTCTAAGTCCACAAAAACTGATGGCTTTTCGAGGAGTTTTTGAGGAGTTTCCAAGTCCCTGACACCCAAAACTGCTCGAAAAACAGGAAGTGGTCAGAAAATATTCTAAAGTCTACAAACCTGGCTGAGCTCCAGATTTCCTCCAGAATTGCTCGAAAAACAGGAAGTGATCAAAAAATATTCTAAGTCCACAAACCTAACTGAGCTCCAGATTTACTCCAGAATTGCTCGAAAAATAAGAAGTGGTCAGAAAATATTCTAAGTCCACAAACCTGGTCGAGCTCCAGAGTCCCTCCAGAATTGCTCGAAAAACAGAAATGAACAAAGAAAATGTTCTAAGTCCACAAGACCAAGACAAGCTCTCAAAACTCCAGAATGGCTCAAAAAGAGAAGTTAAGAAGAAACTATTCTAAGGCCATAACATTAAAGGAGCATTTTAGGTTTCTCCCAGAAATACTCGAAAAATAGAAAAAACACGAGTCTTGATAAGTCAAGTCATTAAAAAATCCAAAAGCAGTTACCAGCAATTATCAACATTCACCACTACGCAAAGGAGATCGTGGGCGATAGTGGTTACGAAAGAAGCCCCAACCAACAACACGATCACAAGCAATCGTGGATAATAGACATCAACAGTTGAAGGTAGTTACTAAGAAGTGCCCGCAAAAGGAGGAGAACGGTGGTGGTCTTCATGTCTATAAATACTCCAAAACACCATTGTACAAAGGACGACTTTTTGCACCCTGACACCGCACCTAAATTCTCTGAAACGCTGAAACCCTGCACCGCGCTAGACACCAGCTACAAGGATAACCACGGTGGTTGTTGTTCGCCATTGTGAGGAGTCGTACGTTTACATTCCAGCACCTTTACATTCCCGCATTTACATTCTGCATTTCAATTCAAGTTTCTTCGTTTGTTTGCTTTTGTTCTTGTTTCTGCAATTCATTTCTTATTTCATACTATTCTGTAATGAACCTCTACGTTTGAGTCAATTCTGCATGTTTAATATTCACTATTCTTGCTAAATTGCTTAATTTACGCGTCCATTTCACCGTTACGTTAACAACACACTTAAAAGAACCCAAAGAAGACCTAAATCCAGTCCTCAGATTGATCTTTGAATTATTTGTTTACAATTATCATTTTTTACCGTAAACAAATAATATTTCACAATAATTAAATAATAAAATAAAAAATAAAATGTTAAACTAAGTAACATTTTAAATCAATATAAAAAATTACCATTCATTTTTGACAGAAATATTATTCATTGAATTAAAAATTAAGAGTCAAAATTGTGCTAGTATCTACCATATTTTGATTTTGAGTCAAAATTTATTTAAATATAAATTAGTTTTCACTCTATAAATTATATCTTTTACATTAAAACATTATTTAAGATTGTTTGATTGAATTTTCAAACTCATACATATTGGAATAAGCATGAAATCGGGTTCAGCGATTGAAAATGAGACTCCAATTTAAAGTAGGAAACGTGCCATTTGTCTTTGGTCCTTCGATGATATCGAGTGACCCGGTCAGTGGTTCACTCATACATTTAAATATTTTTTTAAAAAAATCAATTTTTATTAAAAATAATTTTTTTTTTATTTTCAAAATTATTAATACTTCTTTTAATAATTTTTTAACTGCTTATTCTTCAATTCTAAAAAGTAAAGATTAAGGGGCTGTTTGTTTCCCTTTTAAAAAGAGTTTTCAGTTTTTAAAACTTAAAAACTTCAAAACTTGTTTGTTAATTTAAATTTTAAAAATTATTTTTAAAAACAAGTTTTTATTTTCAATTTTTAAAACTAAAATACAGAATAGCTTCTAAGGTGCTTTTGTTTTTAAATTTTGATTTCTCTTTTCAAAATTTGCAAGATGCGAAAAAGTCATTTCTCATTAATGACATTCTTGTAAATATATTAATTAAATAAAAAATGTAAATGAAATGGGTTAGAGTTTCACAGCATTTTCACATCTCTCTGTGCTGCACCAACAACCTTTCAGCATCCTCACAACATTCTCACGTCTTCCTGGCACTACTAAAAAATTCAAAAATATAGATGGATTTACAGACGGCTATAGTCCGTCTGTAATATGCGCGTCGGTAAATAATTACAGACGGATTTTTAAATCCATCTGTATTACAAATAGAAAAATCCGTCTGTAATTCATTTATGAAATTTTAAAAAAAATTGTTTCATTTTTTTATAAACATAATTATTTCTCACTGTTTCTAATTATCACAATTTATAAACTTAATAAAAACTACAAAATTATATATTTAAAATTAAAATTTATTTATAAAATGTAAAATTAAAATTTAATTAAAAAGGAAGAAGTAAACATCTAGAAAAATAATATAAAAAATAAAATAACATTGTATATCACTAATAATCGGCGTGATCATCTTTTGAAAAAGTATCGTCATCAGTAGATGAGGAGTCAGAGGAGGAATGATGCATGAAGCTGAAAGTATGCATGCATCTGCATATGTTGTTGCTGCACCTCCCTCTGCATCATCGATGCCACCTTCTTCTCTATCTTCTTCTCCATTTTGTTCGCCCACTTCTTCTTCAATGCACTTTCCTTACTCTTCCACATCTCTTCATTTTGCTTATGCAGTTCTTCATTGAGGGCATGGACCTAAGTGCGGACCATGTCCTCCACTTCCTCAAGTACAAGAGAAGGGGCATCTCTGGTGACAGATGCAGGCAACATAGAATCTGCAAAGCGACTCCTCATGCCGTAAATGCGGCCTTTATAAAGGCCACCCACCGTCTCTGACCATATAGTATCATGGTCAACTGACTCTGGATCTTGAGAAGATGCCTCCTCAAGCCTTTGAATATAGTGATCCTATAATTCAATATAGATAATTATATATTAGTCTCGAATACTATATAATAAATCATTAATAATAACATATAGTGTCAATAAGGATAACTTACATATGTGGCCTGAGATCGTGTATTAATCCACAAGGTTTTGTCTCCCTTGCGAGTATGTGTCTCCTTGAACACCTCTCCATGTGTAAGTGGTCTCTTCAGTGACTTTTCTTGCAATTTCAATTAAATCACCGTCTCACTCATCAATTATAAGATTGAATAAAATAAATTTTAAAAGAAAATTAAAAATCACATACCAAGTTCGTTTTAGTGCCAGCCAAAGTCGTAGAACCACCAGTATGCAATAATCCTCCTTTTAAGGATGCCCTGTTTTTCTTGTTCTTTACAAAGAGATTTTTAAACTCATCCGTACCCCAATACTTCTGCAAGACATGAAGGAAGTTAGGTGTTATCCAATCAGCAGATGATAGATCCTGACGGGTCTCAGTGTACATCTGTCTTAGTCGCTTTGCAGTACGACTCTTCCATGCCTTAAAAATCATCTTTTCATCCTAGGGGGAATGGAGAAGTTGCTCTACATAAATACAATTTCATTAGAAGAACTACAAGAAATAATATCTAATTACACTTAGCTGGAATTAATTAACTGTTATTACCTTCTAATCTTTAAACCATTCCATCTTTATATCCTTAGGCACCTTTGCAAAACTTATATAAGGTGCATCAAACATCTTCTTAATAGTATCTGTCACTTGGTGGAGACCCTTCTGTGGTGGAATCCAACTTAACACACAATAAAATAATACAATTATTATAACTTGTTTAAAACAAATAGAGTTATTATTCATATTTTAAATTTAACTTACCAAGTAGACACATCCCATCTTAAAGTTGAAAGCGATCTCGATGATGCCTGGGTCTGTGATGATTACTGCCCACTTACAGCTGGGACAGCAGTGGATCCCTCACTTGTGCCTTGTGTAGAAGGAGGTTGTGTGGCATGTGTAGTCGGCAGTGAAGGGGAGGAGCAACATACCCAGGGTTGGGCACCATGATAAACTGTTCCTGTCCCCTATCCTGCGAGGTCTGCATAGTAGCTGGTATGGAGCGGTAAGTGAAGCAGTGTTGCCACGATTAGGACCACGAGTAACACCTTTCTTACCTTTACCTGTCATATCTTAAACAAATATAATACATGTTTAGAGAACAAATACACAAATACACAATATTGTATCAATGTTTTATTTTACATTACACAAATTTCTAATGTAAATTTTGGCAGAATCTCCCCTAATATATGAATATTTCCGTATGAATATTTCCCTATATTTGTTTACACTTAATACAACAAATTTCTAATGTAAATTTTGGTAGAATCTCCCCTAATATATGAATATTTTCCTATATTTGTTTACACTTAATACAACAAATTTCTAATATAAATTTTGGCAGAATTTTCCCTAATATATTAATATTTCCTTACATTTGTTTACACGTACTTAATACAAAAATCTAAATTTTGTTTACACATAATCTATATATTATGTAATAATCTATTAATCAATGCATCAAAAACATACACATTACAATCCTAAACTGTTCTAGAGCACATCCCCCTATAACTCCACAACATGCATATTCTACAAACTCTGTAAACACAAACAATCCAACAGCACACAATAGTCAGGTTCGGAGAAGGACCTCTACGCCTTTTAACACGTGGTCGCACACGGGTCAAAATACATCTACTTACTATAGTACGAGGTAAGCAACTAGGGTCATTTTTCAAAGAATCACAAGGACAAATTAATCTATTTAGAGAGTATATAAGACGGGGGGTTTGTTTATAAAAGAAAAAAAAAATAGAATGAAGAGTGAACAAAAATTGAAATTCTAATCCAAGAATTAAGAAGAAGAATGACTACTCTATCACCAAATTTTTAAGAGAGTACATCAACAAAAAATTCGGTAATTAACAATGAATCCGAATGAAACCTGATAAGTCTGTAATTAGGCCCTCTTTTATAGCCCAATTATTCATATTTGACATTTATTTGAATTGAGTTTTACATTAATTTAGTTGTTAATTGCGCAGTTTGATATAAAAAGACCATGAGTAGATTTTGGGCCCAAATGAATGAGCTTCAAAGCCTCACAGTAACAAGCACGCCCAGTGAAGCACGGGGGTGCTTTGATAATATGCACGACCGTGCTGCATTATGATGCACGGCCGTGCTTGTTTGCGATAGCCAAATTCACCAAGTTCAAAGGAGTTCAAATGATATAAATAGAAGGGAACCCTTGGCAGAGCAGAAATTGACATAGAACCTTTTCTTTGAGATTTTGGATCATTTCCACCCTTCGCGTAGGATCGCTGGCACACCCTTGGCTAAACTTAGAACTTCAAGTGACCATACTTGAAGACCGAAGATTCATTGCCTATTCTAGTTTGCTTTACTGCTTCATTATGAATATGTTATTGATTGTTTTAGTTCTTTCTTTCTACATGAGTAGCTAAATCCATAGTTAGGGCTATGAGAATTATTGTTTATGACTTTATGGGATTCTGATATTTGAATCTAAATATGATTTCCATTTCATGATTAAGATTTATCTTATCGTTTCTAATTCTTAATCCCAATTAATTACATCGTCAGGCGATCGTACCTCGAGTAATTAATAGATCTATAGGATAAAACGAGAGGAAATATTAGGTAGACCAAACCAATCTTCGTCTTCTAATCATATTGAATTAACAAATTCATAGACTCCTTAGGCTTTTTCTAAATTAATAACCTGCATGACCATTGGAGATATTAACTTAGAGAAAAGAATATTAATACTGCATGACCATTGAGTATTAATAATATTAGTACGAATGATTAGTAATCACTAGGAAATCATATTTAGATCTAAATAGAAGAATATCATAAAGGATTGAATGAGAACATCCATAAACCCTAGGTTCCTCGCCGATAAAGTTTAACCAAAACGTGCTTTGTGTCTCTTGCTCTTAGTTTTTACAATTGATTTTATAAATTCTTGTCTTGATTAATCTCGCATATTTGAAGCTCAAACAATTAAATTAGGAAAACTCTTAGTAATTGATAAACAATCCTTGTGGGACGATATTTCGGGAACTTAGTTGAAAACCCTTTATTACTTCTCAATGGGTACACTTGTCCTCTGAACAAGTTTTTGGCGTCATTGCCAGGGATTGTTGATTTTTCAATATTAAGAAAATCTCGAATTTGATTGATTTGAGCAAATTGTGTTTTGTTTTATTTTGTTTTGTTCATTATTAGAATTCTCTTTTAATATTTTTATAATTTTTGTATTTATTTTATTTTTATTTTTTTAATTACTCTTGATGTATGCTCACTCGTTCTAAGTGTTCTACAGCTTATTTGTTTGATCTGAAAATTGAAAGAACAGTTCGTAGACAAAGAAAAGAAGTGAGAGAGCAAAGAATGGCGAAGGGAAGGAGATCAATCCAAGATTACATGATACCCAATGCCAGAGGCACTCCTGGAAGTATCGTGGCACCTAATGTGGAGGCAAACAATTTTGAGTTGAAACCAGCACTCATCACCATGGTTCAGAACTCCATACAATTTGGGGGCTTGCCTAACGAAGACCCCAATCTACATCTGACAAAATTTCTCCGATTGACGGACACCATAAAATACAATGGAGTCTCCAACGATGCAATTCGACTCCACCTGTTTCCATTTTCAGTGTCCGAAAGAGTGAACGCATGGTTTTCTTCATTCCCAGCCAATTCCATCACAACTTGGGAGGATCTGACTCAACAGTTCTTGGGAAAGTACTTTCCTCCATCAAGATTGTCCAAGTTGATGACAGAAATATGTTGCTTCTAGCAGAATGAGATAGAATCATTGTTCGAGGCGTGAGAGCAATTCAGGAAATTATTGAGAAGATGCCTGCACCATGACTTTCCAACTTGGAGGCAGGTACAGATCTTTTACAGTGGCCTATCCATCCATAATAGGGCCACGATTGATGCCGCCACAAGAGGATCTCTTATAAGGAAAGACCCAGATGACGCATATAGATTGATAGACGAAATGGCATCTGCTAGCTTTCAGTGGCACACAACTGACACTTACAACTTCAAGAGAAAGGAAGCTGCACCAGTCTATCAACCAGAGAGCAACAACCCATTGGTAACCCAAATGGTAGCTCTCACAAAGCAACTGGAGTGTTTAATGAGAGCACAAGATCAACCCACAAAGTCGGCGCATAATACAGAGCTTGATCAGGAGGAGGCGAACTTTATGGGTAATAATTATAATTCAGGATGGCGCAATAGCAATACAAATCCTTGGGGAAGTTGCCAAGGAAATCAGAATGCGCCCTATCGACCCCCTCATGTGCAAAATCAAGGGGAGAAGCTAGAAAGAAGAGAAGCTCCTAGATTCCAATCCAATTTTCAAGAACAGATGATGCAATACGTGCATAGCTCTGACAAGAGAATAGTAAAACTTGAGGCACAGATGGAACAACAGATTGAGAGGGAAGATAAGAGGTTTGCATAAATCAGAGCTAGATGAGAACTCAGTCCTCAAAGCTTGAATCCCAGTTGGAGCAAATCATAACTCTCCTCAGTTAAAGAGCACCAGGAACATTGCCATCCCAACCAGAACCGAATCCTAGGGAACAACCTAAAGCAATTACTTTAAGAAGTGGAAAGAACTTAAGTGAAACGCAGACACATAAGCCATGCACGCCTGTGCTTGTTGATCAGCACGCCCTTGCATCACCCTACACGCCTATGTTGGCTCAACAAGAACGGTCGTGCTTTGAACAGCACACCCATGCTGACAATGAATGCATACTGACAATGAATGCATGCTGACAATGAATGCACGCCCGTGCTTAACCCAAGCAAGGTCGTGCTTGAAGAAAACATGGTCGTGCTTGCCAACCAGATACGAAAAAAGAAGCAAGGGAAGATGCATTAGTGATGCCAAGGTCAAAAGTTCCATTCTCACAACGGTTGATGGCTACCCAGAGAGACCCTTAGTTTAATAAATTTCTTGGAATCCTCAGAAAACTCCACATCAATATCCTTTTTGTTGAAGCCATCTCACAGATGTCTAAATATGCTAAATTCCTCAAAGAGATGCTAAGCAACAAAAAGAAATTGGAAGAATTTGAGATAGTCAAATTGAATGAGGAGTGCTCAGAAATATTGCTAAGGAAGCTGCCACCTAAGCTTAAGGATCCAGGGAGTTTTACGATTCTGTGCACTATAGGCAATTCTTATTTTGATAAAGCGCTATGTGATCTAGGCGCTAGTATTAATCTAATGCCATTTTCTGTATTTAGAAGGTTGGGTATGCAAGAACCCAAGCCAACTTCAATTTCTCTGCAGCTTGCTGATCGCTCGATAACGTATCCTAGAGGCATAGTGGAGGATGTCCTGGTCAAGGTGGATAAGTTCATATTCCCTGCAGATTTCATTGTTCTTGACATGGAAGAGGATGACGAAGTACCCATCATACTAGGAAGGCCTTTCCTAGCTACAGGAAGAACGATAATAGATGTTCAGCAGGGGAAGCTTACATTAAGATTGAACGAAGAGGAAGTAGTATTTAAAGTTTTTAATTCACTTAAGCATCCATCTACCTTTGATTCTTGTAATTTTGTGTCAACTGCAGATGTTACCTCCCTCTCCCTGAATGTACCCCAGGTACAAGATGGATTAATGAAAGATGTATTGGAGAGAATACTTACATTGGAAAGGAGGGATTTGCACGACACTGAAGAAATAATAGATGAGATTTTAGCATTGAACAGTGGGGTACCTGGAAGATGGTTTGGGCGAAGGATATTTGAAGATCTAGGAGAACACTCTCGGAAAAGAGCCAAGCCATTAGTCGAAGAACCTCCTGAAATAGAGCTCAAACCTCTTCCTTCGAATCTTAAATATGCCTTTTTACACCCTCCATCTCACTTACCTGTAATTATTTCTGCCAATTTGATAGGTAGCATGGAGGACAAGCTTCTGAGAGTACTAAGAGAGAACAAGGAGGCTTTCGGGTAGAGCATCAATGACATTAAAGGCATCAGTCCTTCTACATGCACTCATAGAATTCACCAGGAGGAGGAGTTCAAACCAAAAGTACAACCCCAAAGGCGATTAAATCTCAATCTGAAAGAAGTAGTGAAAAAGGAGGTAATTAAGTTATTGGATGCCGATATTATATTCCCAATCTCTGATAGCCCTTGGGTGAGTCCTGTGCAAGTTGTACCAAAGAAAGGAGGGACTATTGTTATGCAAAATGAGCAATAGGAGCTCATTGCTGTTAGAAAGGTAACCGGATGGAGGATGTGTATTGACTACAGGAAGCTTAATGAAGCCACCAGGAAGTTGATAAGTCTGTAATTAGGCCCTTTTTTATATCCCAATTATTCATATTTGACATTTATTTGAATTGGGTTTTACACTAATTTAGTTGTTAATTGCGCAGTTCGATATAAAAAGACCATGAGTAGATTTTGGGTACATTTTGGGCCCAAATGAATGGGTTTCAAAGCCTCACAGTAACAAGCACGCCCAGTGAAGCACCCCGCTTCGATAATATGCACGACCGTGCTGCATTATGATGCACGGTCATGCTTGTTTGCGGTAGCCAAATTCACCAAGTTCAAAGGAGTTCAAATGATATAAATAGAAGGAAGAAAGCATCGTGAAGGGAACCCTTGGCAGAGCAGAAATTGACACAGAACCTTTTCTTTGAGATTTTGGATCATTTCCACCCTTCTCGTAGGATCGCTGGCACACCCTTGGCGAAACTTAGAGCTTCAAGTGACCATACTTGAAGACCGAAAATTCATTTCCTATTCTAATTTGCTTTACTGCTTCATTATGAATATGTTATTGATTGTTTTAGTTCTTTCTTTCTACATGAGTAGCTAAATCCATAGCTAGGGCTATGGGAATTATTGTTTATGACTTTATGGGATTCTGATATTTGAATCTAAATATGATTTCCATTTCGTGATTAAGATTTATCTTATCGTTTCTAATTCTTAATCCCAATTAATTACATCGTCAGGCGATCGTACCTTGGGTAATTAATAGATCTATAGGATAAAACGAGAGGAAATATTAGGTAGACCAAACCAATCTTCGTCTTCTAATCATATTGAATTAACAAATTTATAAGCTCCTTAGGCTTTTTCTAAATTAATAACCTGCATGACCATTGGGGATATTAACTTAGAGAAAAGAATATTAATACTGCATGACCATTGAGTTTTAATAATATTAGTATGAATGATTAGTAATCACTAGGAAATCATATTTAGATCTAAATAGAAGAATATCATAAAGGATTGAATGAGAACATCCATAAGCCCTAGGTTCCTCGCCGATAAAGTTTAACCAAAACGTGCTTTGTGTCTCTTGCCCTTAGTTTTTACAATTGATTTTAAAAATTCTCGTCTTGATTAATCTCGCATATTTGAAGCTCAAACAATTAAATTAGGAAAACTCTTAGTAATTGATAAACAATCCTTGTGGAACGATATTTCGGGAACTTAGTTGAAAACCCTTTATTACTTCTTGATGGGTACACTTGCCCTCCGAACAAAACCTCAATTCGAACTCAGCATTCACATGAAAACCTTCATGCATTCGATTAACACATAATTAATTAAAATTCAGAAAACTCTAGAACCTAATTGAATTATGCCAATTTAATTTACCAATGCCGTTAATTGTAGTTTTCAAACCTGGAAATCCAATTCATATTCCTTAAAACTGAATTACATACATCAATCGAATAATACGTAATCAAACAGATGCATAATCATCAATCCAAACGAATAACTTCAATTTGAAAGTATAATTAGCAAAAGGGAAAAATAAGGAAGAGATGAAACCGAATTTATTATTGAATTTATGCCAATGTGAGACCAATCCTCAAGAGTGTCACATCCCTTTTAATCCTTGAATTAGATGAAAATCTAAGCCTCTATGAATGGAGAGAAACAAGTTGTAAAGGGGAGAGGGGTCGAGAGAGAGAAGAGAAAAAAAAGAGAGAGCGAAAAAAAAAACTTAAATTCAAAAATTCTCCCTAAAAATTTTGTTTGTAACTTTATTCCATTATTTCGGCTATGAAAATGGCCTCCTTTTGATTGATGGCCTGAAGGACAATTGTAGCCTTGGATGTCAGGTTCAAAATGCCACTAGAATGGGCTTAATCGGATGTTTGTGGACTGAGATATGGCCCAAATACTGCACCTTGCTTCGGATCCATGACTGCAGTGTTTCGATTTTTTTTCCAGACTCAATTTTAGCTTCTTATCATCAGAATTGGTTTCTGACCTCTGCATAGGAATTGTGCGTCTTTCTCTTAGCTTTCCTACAAATCAAGAATCACAATGAAAGAAGTTCTACAACTCAAGATATGATCTAGAAACCAAAACAGTATCAGAATTTGCCAAATACTAGAAAAATTAAATAAAGCCCAAATAAAATTTAAACATCATAAAATGATCCAATTCAAACCAATTAGGCACAAAAGAGGATTAATAAGCTAGGAATGAAAGGAAATAAGGTTATAAAAATCTAATTGATCACCCTTCCCCCCAGTCATACAATTTCCAATCCTACAACTCTATCTTAGAAATTTTAAGTCTCTAAAATACATCAAAAATAAAAAAAACTAAACCGATTAAAAGTTAGAGAATCGTACCAAGAATACAATGATGCAAATTATCTTTCAAATGGATGCTCCAATCACTCGCAAAGGCCAAAAAACTGAAGCTCCTTGAGAGAGAGAGAGATTTATGAAAAATGAGGAAGGGGGAGGGGGAGACACGAATTTATGGGTTTCAGACATTACAGACGAGAAAATCCGTCTATAAATGGTTTAATGAAACAATACGTTTTAAAGATCCAGTTACAGACAGATTTTTTCATCTATAAATTCATAAAGTCCATTTACAGACGGAAAAATTTGTTTGTAAATTGTCACATGAAAAGTCGGTTAAAAAGGACAATATTTACAAACGAAAAAAATCTGTTTGTAACTCTCGCTCCAAAATTCCCTCCCTTTTTCAAATTACAGACAAATTTTTATCCGTCTGTAATATAGACAGATTTGTGGGTTTTTTTTTTAAATTTTCTGAAAAATCTATCTGTAATATCCATCTATAATCAGCACTTTTCTAGTAGTGTGGCTCGCACCAGCAACCTTACGACTTTGTCACCTTCTCAACACTCTTAAACCATCACCATTGTTTTTTCTTAGGTTTTTCCCTTTTCTCATCTTGGATTTTTTTTTACCATTCTTGATTTTGATTTTGATTTGGATTTATATTCTTCCTCACAAGCATCAACATATTTGGAGAAAAAAATTCATGTTTTGTTCTTCTCTTCTTGCATTTTTTTTTTCCTCTCTTTTTCTGAGTGTTTGAAGACAATGAGATAAAGGTAGTGTTTGAAAATGATGTGCTATCAGCAATTAGACTTTTTAAAATTTTAACATTTGTATGAGTGCTTTTAGTATTGTCAACATTCCTTTAATTCTTGCAATCGAACTAATATGTTGTTAGCATAGCTAAATTTTGAATTTTTATATTATATTGATTGAACAAGTGACATGTAAGATATAATTTCCAACAAATGGAATATGAATGATGATTTATTTAGGATATGAGAAGAAATGGATCCTATCAGTATTGAGCATGAGAACAGAGATTCAAGTATAGAAGAAACTAGCTCAAATTATCATAATTTAGTCAGATTATTTGATGAAGGTGCAGTTGAAATGACAATATTTAGGGATTATATTACAAATCAAATATAGGCATAATATAATAACTAGTTTGTATTAGTTTATATATAGACAATTACAAATAGTTATACATACATTGCAGGATTTATTCTTAATATACATATTCACTTGTTTTATTGTATCAGTGTTATTTATTTATTTTTTTAATAATATCTATTCATACTATTTATATATTTTATTAAAAATTATTTTAATATTAAAATTAATCATTATTTTTTAGTTTGATATTAATTTATTTTGTAATTTTCATAATTTATGAAACTTTTTGCATTGCATGTATTACTTTAATTTAATATTAAATTTTGATGTTTTAATAATTTTTTAATTCAATATTTCCTTTTAAATATAAAAAATATATTTAATTAAATAAAAAATACTAAAATTAAATATCAAATATATATATATATATAATTTGAAATACTAAATAAAAAATAAATAAAATCAAACATATTTTCTTTTTTAATTTTTAAAAATAAATTTATCAAACAAGTTCTCTTATTTTTTTTTATCTTAAAAACAGTTTTAAAAATTAAATTACCAAACAAATTTTATTTTCATTCTCTTCTTAAAAACAGTTTTATAAAATTGTTTTAAAATGTAATTTTTAAAAACTGAAAAGCAAAACTAAATCAAACAACCCCTAACATTTTTCTTACTTTTTATAATAGATTTTATTAATTTATAAAATAAATATTAAATAAAATATATTTTGTTATCGTAAAAGCATAAAATAATTAATAAAATATATTCACACATTCTTTAGAGAAACTTTGATGCTGTCTTAATGAAAATACCGTGCAAATCATCTTCGTTTAGTAATTAAGAAAAGTTATACTAAGCATTTCAAGTTGAGACATATCCGTATTTGAGTACCAAACAATAAAGGCCATTGTCAAAAGATATGGCAGCTGAAGAAGAAAAAAATTGTAAGCACACAACAAAAGAAGTAAAGACTAAAGGCTTTACAAAAAGAAATTTTCATTAATCTCAAGAGTAAAAAAAAGGAACAAGTCTTTTATAAAAAAAGGCATAACTAACAGAAAAGGCGAAAAACAAAAAAACTTATTAAACAACTATTAAATTGACTAACAATAATTAATTAAAAATATATACAGATAATATCTTCTCAAGCTGGAATATGGATATCCAAGCTTAAAAACACATTGTTAAAAGGGTCTAGGTGTTTACGTTGAAAAATGACAATTTGTAAACAAATAATTCAAGAGCAATCTAAGAA